CACACACACACACTCACACACACACTCACACTCTCACACACACACACACACTCACACACACACACACACACACTCACACACACACTCACACACACACCTGAGCAGGTGAGAAGCTCGTTTCTTCACTAACAGGAAGTTTTTTTCTCTTTTAGGAAAAAATGCCTGAAGACAAAAACTCTGAAGAAACTCGTAAAAAACGTCGGAAACTCAAGAATCCTCAGAGCTCCGCCCCTCCGACAGGTAAACTCAGGACTGTGTGATTTCTCTTCAAAATAAGAGCGTATAAAAATAAACCAAAACAAAAATAAGACATAATATTATTATAATAACAATAATAATATCTGATAATGATCTTTATATTAATTTAAGTTCATTAATTTAATTATTAAAAATATTATCGCTAATGTTAGTATAATTAGTAACATTGTAAACTTTGTCGTTGTTGATAAATGTTGTGACTGTTCAGACCAGAGACTGTATCTAGAACAGACGCCGTCTGTCTCCTCTCTGTGAGAACAGCGCCCTCTGGTGACGGGCTGCAGTATAGGTCCTAAACCCCGCCTCCTTATGGAGCTGTGGACAAACTTTATAAATGAATGACACAGAATATAAATGTTTCTCCCCCCTGGTTGTGATGTTGACATGTAGTTACTGTCAGACTGGTTTGTGCTCAAGTCCTCTTTTTTCTGTACAGCTCCATTTTTAAAAGTTATTAGGGGGTTCATGTTTTCGATGATTGACACCTGATACAGCCAATGGGAGGACAGAGATTGAGTAGATCACCGGGGGATACGCTGTTTGAGCCGAGCGTCATCACAGAGACTCTCCTGCTGAATGTGTAAAACGTTACTGAACAAAGTTGGTTTGAGGAAGTGGAGAAAAAACCCGGAGATACCGATAAAATGTCAGATAATGACAGGAGGCGGAGCCAAGTTATCCGTAGTTTCTACAGTCTGAGGTCCGAGCTCATGTCTGTACTTCCTGTTCTCTCCAGCTGGTCCAGATCAGTCAGTTCCCTCGGTCCAGTCTGCGGGTTCTGAGCCGACCCCGAAACCGTCTAAGCGTCTGATCATCCTGGCGGAGGGGAAGTGGGGCGGCGCCGCCGACAGGGGTCAGGTGTTGACGCACCTGTGTGAGCGGATGGCCCGGGACCAGCTGGACGAGCCGTTCTGGGTTCTGGGGTATCACATCGTCCCCATCAGTCAGACCTCTGAGGGAACCGGACCGGACCAGTGCATCCAGTACCGAGTCCATATCTCCAGACCAGAACCCGGGTCCGTGAAACCAGTGAAACCACCACAGGAGACCAACGCTGACCCTCAGGTAACGACTCATTTCAATGTTCACACAGAAGATCCTTCTGAGCATGTGCAGTAACCTTCATTAGTTTACTGATCACGGTTGACCTTTCAGCAGGACCCGCCCACACAGGTGTTTAAGGAGGCGGAGCCTCCGGAAGAGTGGCAGCAAGAGGTGGAAGAGGAAGAGGCGGAGTCTCCTGAAGAGTGGCAGAGAGAGGTGGAGGAAGGTGAGAGTGAGGAGGAGGGGTCAACGTGTGACCAGGTGCATGATGGGAACAGCAGAGGAAGAAGTCCAAAAAGACCAAAGAAGAAGAAGACGACGATGACGATGGTCAGTTTGGGTCTGCCGTTCCTGACCGGAGTCTCGCCCGCCGGCTTCCTGTCCACCAACAGGAAACAGCCGGGGGGAACTGACCACCTGGTTCAGGTGAGTCCAGACAGGTGTGAGTCAGTGAGGTCAGGGGTCAACCTGTCTGAGGTCATCATGTCAGCTGAACAGACGTGCACAGACGTGCACAGGTCCACAGCTTTTCAGCAGGTTACACTGACAGACTACAGGGGGCGCTCACAGGGTCACTGCCTGTCCTCCTTCATTAACTCCTCCCAAACAGGAAGTACTGTGGTCCTTTCAAATTAAAGGCGTGTGAATAATTCAAACAGAAAACAGGAAGTGAGAAAAAATCTCTGAAACTATTTAAACAGAATAAATGTGTGTGTGTGTGTGTGTGTGTGTGTGTGTGTTCACCTGTGTGTGTGTGTGTGTGTGTGTGTGTGTGTGTGTGTGTGTGTGTGTGTGTGTGTGTTCACCTGTGTGTGTATTCACCTGTGTGTGTGTGTGTGTGTGTGTGTGTGTGTGTGTGTGTGTGTGTTCACCTGTGTGTGTGTGTGTGTGTGTGTGTGTTCACCTGTGTGTGTGTGTGTGTGTGTGTGTGTTCACCTGTGTGTGTGTGTGTGTGTGTGTGTGTGTGTGTGTGTGTTCACCTGTGTGTCTCTCAGGTGAACGGGAAGCTGTATCCCCTCGCCAAAATCCAGTTGGGTCAGATGGGGGCGCTTCATCCCGCCAACAGGTTGGCGGCGTACCTTACAGGTCGAGTCGGGTCAAGTAAGAAGCAACCAGGGTCCTCCAAGCCCGTTCAGAACCAGAACCTCAGACAGAACCCCCAGACCACCTCTGTGGGGTCAGCCCCCCCACCACCAAA